CTGTTCTTTATCTTGAGCTTTGTATTTCTCTCTAAGGCCATATGGGGAGACTCAGACACTATATGGTAAAGGCTAGAAAGGAGCATCTGAGTTGAGTGACTGGGACAGAAAGGGCTTCTATAGTCTAGGATCTTCACCCATCCTGACCTGCAGGGATAGCTAGAGTAAAGCATAAATGGCAAAGGCAAACTATATTGAAGCTACTTTTGGTATCACTGGTACTCTTTTGCTAATCTTGGTTCAAAGCTTGCTTTATAGACAAATCAGAAAGTTCCATGGCAGGTGCAGACCTGAGTTCAAGTCTGGCCTTTTTTCAGAATAGAGTGGAGCCACATGGAGGACTATATGCATTTTACCTGAAGTTGAGATGATCTGAGGGTCAAGGACTATCATGCAAAGGACCAAGACTCAATAGATGAATTTTGTACCTGCTTTGCCCAGACACAGTTCAGATTCGGATCGAGTATGCAGCAATAAAGGGAAGACATGATGACATCAGAGTTGTGGTGCAGCACAGGATGGAAAGATGATGAAATAGAAGATTACAGGTCTGGGGCTTCCAGGCCATCAGTGCCTCTGTGCTGACATGTTAGATGAGAGCTGGCTGGAGTAAAAAACTTGTCCATGAAAGAATACCAAACAGGACAAGTGTCTGGATATTTGATGATTCCCAAGACCCCTTAAGTCAGAACCATCAGATGCAAAGTGGGAGTAGGATGGTGCCTGTGGACCAGGGTTCTGTGGTCTTATTGGAAAGTTTGGAATTATTTGCTCAATGCAGAGTGTTAAAAGGTGATTGTAGAACTGTATTTTTGTTTATGAAGAATGACTTATGTAGGAGGACACAGGGCAAGGTTGTGAACAGGGAGAACACAGGAGTCAATTGAAGAGTTGGAAAGCATTGTTTTGACTTGGGGATGGGCAGATAAGTATGTATTTATTCATTTAGATAGAACTATGCACAACATTGATTAGACTCAGAAATCAAATGGGAGCCTGTGGTAGAGCCCAAATGGAATGTATACCTCATGTTTCCACAATTACACTGAGAAGCAGTATGGTGGAGCGCATGGTGTTCAGTATTTGTGACATACACCTCCACTTAAAGGCTGCATGAAACAGGACCAGATCCTGAGACCTACATGAATGGATGTGAACAGAAGCCACAGTAACAGTACTGCCTGCCCAGATGTTGCTCATGGGCTGCTTGGAACAGAGCTGTCTCCCCAGTGCATCAGTGCCGGGGAACATCCATGCAGAGAGTGTCAGGGAGGCTCCAGTCTAGGAAGGAGTTTGGACTAATAATTTTAGAGCCCCCTTGTTCATTGTGATGTGGCATGATTCAGTACATCCATTACAGTTATGTTTAGCCACTGGTAGCCTTGGGAAAAGGAAGAGTTAAATTTTGCTTTCTTGAAGCCTGTCCCATGCAAATGGAGCTTCCACACAGCAGCTGACCAACACCAGGGCAGCACGTGTCGGCAGTACTGTGGGAACTGCAAACTGATCTGCTGGTCACGTGTGGTGGCCAGCTCTTTCCATGTGCCGAATTTTATTAAATTATCCAAGATGCCTGACACACAAATGCCTCTGTGCTTTTAATCAGTTACTAGTTTATGTTTTGTTTGTAAGAGAAAGTGGCCTTTGGAGACAAGGGAAGTAAAATTTGGTCAACATTTACTGTGATTCAAGAGCTGTTGTAAGACAGGGATAACTAGGTAAGCTGGTGGCAGTTAATTAAACTGGCTGGGTGACTGCTATGTCATCCCAGTTCTCAGCATAGGACACCCTCAGTTTAGACAGTTGCTGGCAGGAGGAGAAAAAAGTCCAATTATTTGGAAAGAGAAACTTCATTTTCTGGATATATGTTAAAAAGAGACACATTTGGAAATTCTGTAGAAATTACATCACACCTGGTATCTGATATTCTAGAGTCAGGGCCAAGGGACCTGCTTAAAAGGAAGCCTGGGCTCTCATGGGTCTATCATAGATGAACTTCCAAGAAATCTGATGTTAATGCAAACAGAGTCTTATCAACAAGAATATGGACAAGCTTGTACCAAATTTCACTTACAAGAGATTGAAAATATTTCAAACCACTTCTTCAGCATAATACTGGTACTTCACGTGGGGATGGCACTGGCTTGTAATGCTTCTGGGACTTGTTTTTAGTTTCTGAAATAAGTCTCCCAAACTCTGACTTTTGCATCTGACATGGAGCACAGAGCCTGCGTGTCACTAGTGGAGTCACAATCCTAGCCAGGGCATGTCCACCTCTTTAATTTTTGGAAAAGTAGACATTCGGAGTTCCTGATATTCTTATATTGACCAGGTTGGCTCCTTGGAGATTACTGTGTCATCTTGATTCTTTGAAATGGGTGCTGAATGAATCTGCTAAATACCCATGTTCTGAGACTTTGTTTACCCCTGGGGAAGAAAAGACAAACACCCTCACTCCTTTAAAACTCCTCAGTGACTGGGGGGAAATTTCAGAGTCATAAATGGTTTGATATGTTAACTAAAACAAGCTTTGAAATTGTGTTTCCAGACACAGTAATGAAAATGAGTACTTCTGAGGTTTATCTTAGCTGTTACAGTTACTGAGAGATTCAGCTAACATAAAATAGACTAAAAAAATGATGTTGTCTGAGGGCATTGCAATTAGATTGCTTCTCTTTCAGCTAAAGGTTAGAATCACAGATTCTGGTCCCATCAAGCTGAGGTCCCTGTTCAGTGTCCTGGTTAAAGATCATATCCCATGCTCCTCTTGTCTCAGGGATAATTGCACAAGTAGTTGTTAGAGATATTATGTTGTGGCCTTTCAAAGGTGTCTATCCCATGTGCATTTGAAGTTAGCAGAAGTTATGAACTGGGATGGGCGTGTTTATGTCTGCTTTAATGGAAATGGGTATTCCTGTGTTTTGTTTCAATAATTACTGTCAAGCTAAAGCATGATGAAGTAAGTGTATATAGTTTGCTACAGATCTGCCTCCCCTCCCACTAGCAGCCTCCACCAAGTAGAAATGGAGAACAAGGAACAATTAGACCTTTCTCTTCTAGTGCCCCATACATTGTTAACTTAATAGAGTAGAGCATATAAGACTCTGGGACTCAGCAAATGGTAAAGGATCAGAATCAGAAATGGGAATGCTCTACCACCCTTCATTTCAGTTTGTCATTTGGTCCCAGTTGTGGGCAATGAGAGTCCACATGTAAAGACCACACCTGGCATACACGGCCAGGGTTTCACACGGCATGCACGGTCAGGGTTGGAGTGCTGTGGGGGATGGTTTCTAGGTCAGTGCTAAGTCCTGCTCCTCCTGTTGTAAGTACAGAAAATCCCCGGTTTAGGACAGCATGATGCACACTTCCTACTTCCCATGGTGAGAAACCCATATGCACTTAGTAGAAGCCATTCCTTATGCTTTTCCTCAGGCTAGTACTGTGTGGGGCCATCTGCAAAGGTTAAACTTCACCTCTTAGTAAGTCAAGAGACAAATTAAAGGCCAAGATCTACAGTACAAGAGGTATTTGGGAAAGAGCTGGAGAGACCGTGTTCACATCATTACAGTACTTTGTTATATGTTGTATTTTATTACTGGCTTTTGTTGTTAAACTCTTCTGGTGCCTAATTTGTAAATGAAGCTTTCTACAGGTATAAGCAGAAACTGTAGACTTGGATCTGTGGCTCCAGGTATGCACTGGGCTCTTGATAATGGTGACCTCTGAATTAGGATAGAGGGTTCCTGATTGGATGCTGAGGATGCTAAGGTAACCTGGTCTTCTCTCAAGAGCAACACCATTGAGAGAATTTTCTCCCTTTCAAGGTTCCAATGGGAAACCAAAGTATAGTTCTACCACTGTTCTCTCCAGGGAACCAATAAGGTTTTGTCTATCCTTAGGCACATGAGTGAGGGATTACTAATGGGAGCATGGGTGACTCCAAAGCAGACATACTGGGGAATCTTCACCCAGGGATGATGGTTTCCATGTAGATGAGCCTCTTTTCCTTAGTCTCTCTGAGTCTATATACTCTAGCCCCTCCCTAAGACCCCATGCAGATAGGGCAGGATTGCATATACATGGCTTAGAGGAGTGTCTAGACACTCAGGTAGGGTTCCAGTGACCCTCTATCCTTACTTCTTCTAGGAGGGAGTGTCAGCAGTCTACAAGGCCAGCTGCGAGGACCTTTCCCACACAGACACAGCTGGTCTTAGGAAGATGGGTGTTCTGCTGGGAGGGTAGTGCTGTGTAACACCACTTACAGTGGGACAGTTTGAAGAGTGTCAGGGGGACAGCTGGGGTGCTTCAGAGGATGTCATAAATCATGAAGTCCCGTTACTGTCCTCTGAGCCATCTGCAATGAACATGCTGCATTTCAGGGAATTTCAGTATGGAGAATTTGTTTTAATAGATCCCTCTACTCCAAGTTGAACTTGCACACACAACACATTTAGTGGCATTTTGTATTTTTGGTTGTGAGCCTAGCCTTTAACGGCTGAGCCATCTCTCCAGCCCTAGTGGAATTTTGTATTTTTTTTTTGTATCTCTATGGATAGCCCAGGCTGTCCCAGAACTCTGTAGACTAGGCTGGCCTCTAACTCAGGGATCCATCTGCCTCTGTCTCCGGAGTGCAGGGATTAAAGGTGTGCGCTACCACCCTGAACGCTCCAGATCTTGGCTGTAGTATTTTAAACTGCTCAAGTGATGCTTGTGCTTGTGTCAGGAGTCCTCTCCAGAGCTCAGAACACTAGTCACCACCCAAAGCTTAACCAGAGCACAGAGACCCAGAGCAAGGATGTCCCAGGCACTGCTCAGTCACAGCAGGGTGGCTGTGTGGACTGACTTCCTGTAGCTATGGGTGCAAAATGAAGGGGCTGCTGCCAGGGTGATGACAAAGTCACAGCTCACGGACTAGTCATTTTGTCTAGATATTTCTAGCAAGGTCAGGAATGCCAGTCAACAGCAAATGCAGGAAATTATACAAGACCAAGAGCAGCTGACGGTAAAATCCATTCTGGGATGTTTTTAGCAAAAACAATCAAGGATCTAGCACTTTCCGGGGCTGGGGGGACTAAAATGGAATATGACTGGCAGCCAACACCAGCTCTCCCATCTTGCACGTGTGCTCTAAACGAGGAGAGATGGTCTAAAAATAATGCGTGGAGCCACAGGACTGGCGCTTTGGTTGTTTGTTCTGGTCTTTGCAAAGCGTCTTTGTCAGAGCTGAGGATTTCCTATCATCTGTATTTATAGAGTCCTTTATTCTGAAGATGTCAAAGTGTCTTCTCCCATTGCTGAGAACTAAGTGACTGGGTCTTCTCTGAGGGCGAAGCGGCTGGAGGTGGGTAATAAGCCGAGGCTGGGAGGAGGTGAGAAGGCCAGGCCTCTGTTCAATCTAGGAAGGCCAGCGCACGGTTCTCCGCACTAGCCGAAGGAAGACGGTGACTCCAGAGCAGCCCTGGCAGCCTGGAGATGGCTTTTCTGTATGGCACAGGAAACCTCTCATTTTGTTTCAGTGAATTTGCCTCCATTGTAACACGATATTGCAGAGCATTGTAACTTAGCTACTCCTGAAAAAATCCCCTCCAAACTCCTGGGTTTGATTTCCATGCAATAAAAACAAACGGACAAACAAAGCTGCTCTGGACTGTCTGGGTGCCATGAGGGCTAATTTGAGACATGGATCTGCATGGAAAGTCTCCTGGAAGCTAACACTAGTCAGGAACAGCAAGGAGAGCTGGCTCCTGCTGTCCCCAGCTCTGCTGGTGTCTGCATTCACCTGGCAGTGACCAGTTGCTGCCCCCTCCATTGCACACCGCATTCCTTTGCTGTCCTTGACATCAGTCACTGGTGACAGTTGATGGCGTTTCTGTAAGCCCAAGGCTATCTGAAAATCCAGGAAATAGTTTGGCGAGCCTCCACTTCCCCAGGTGGGGAGCTCTGGGCCTTCAGCTTGAGGGTGTCTGGCCTGCAAGGGAAGGCTTTGGGTGTTCTTGCCTCTGCTGGCCCTAGCTGGGGAACCCGGGCCTGCATCGTCTAGCCCAAGTGTGTCTTCTGGGACCCGGCCCCGTGGAAGCAGCTGCATCAAAATGGGTTCCACATCCAGTCTTACTTAAGGAATCCTTCAAACTTTTGATAGCCTGCTCTTGACATGGAATCAAGTTCAGCCCAAGTTTTTGTAATAAAATTCCTCTTTCACCTGAGTCTGCTGGCAGTTCTGAGAGTGTGATGGTGAAGGCGCATTAATAGAAGTAGACCAGCACTAGCCCCCAAGTTTTGGTTGTTACCTCTCTATCTACGTAGACCCCTAAATACTGCTTCATTCTTTTACCCTGACCCCTCCAGCAACAAAATCTCAAATTGCTGCAGTCACCAATTACGGGTCTGTTATTATAGCAAACTCTCAATGGGTTCTCATTCCCAAGTTCCCGAGGCACCTCACGATGGCTAAGGTCTCACTTCCTCTCAGTCCTTTGCCTCGTAACCACTGGGGCTATTTATCTTAATAAAACAATCTGAAATTGTAATTTTCCTTAAAACAAAGCAGAAGTAGAATTCAGAGGGCAGCGTAAGCGTTCGCCAGAAAGGGCTGTCCTGTGATGCTGGAGGTGATGATTTGGAAGACTTCAGCAACTTGGGAACGGAATCTGCTATAATGATTAATGAAAATTAAAACAGAGGCCATTAAATTGTACCACTTACTCTGTAATTTCATAAAAATAATAACAAATCATGTCAGGGTGGGGTAAGTGCCAACATAGAAACAATAGTTTCATTTCAATTATGGGATTAGAGTGATTTTCTTCTTCCACTATTCTCTGATTTCTCTGGAATGTGGTTAATAGAATGGGAACAATGCTCTTCCCCTCCCCTCCTTCAGGAATTACATGAGGTAATGACCATAAGGTGGCTTTCCCTTTGTTTCTACCTTTTCTGTTACCTCATTGTCTCCTTATGACCTTGTTCTGAGGACTTACGGAGTGGGTCTGGGCTGATTCCCTTCTCCCGCAGCAAGGCATGCTCGTCTTTCTTCTTTTCTTGTCTTCTAACCATGCCAGCCTGAGCCACAGATAACTGCTGCAGGAGACCATCCTCAGGGGCTCATCTTGGGTACCACGTGCACCTGCAGCGTGAAGGTCTCCATATTGTTTTCACAGGACTTCAACCCCATCAGAAACAGCTTTGCTATGTGACAGTTTATTGGGGAAGGAAATGTCCCAGGAATTTTTAGCAGTTCGGCGTGTTACAGAAGTTCACATCTCCTCTCTGACACCCACTCAGATTTCCAGCCACAGTGGTGGTCCAGCCCTCGGCATGTCCCCCTGGGATTCCCACTCTGGGTTCTGCAGTCATTCTGGTTTTAGTCTCTCTGTGGTGGATGCTTTCCAAGTCTTCAATTTTATGTTCCTAAATCATCTGGAGAAGAAAGAATGGTCTTTGTTTTTGTTTTGTAAAGATGAATCAATCATTCCTTCATGACTGAGTGGAGGCATCTTTGAAGGTCACCTCTCCAGGTGGAGGCTTAGGGAACACCAGATCCCCCACAGTCCTGTGCTCAGAATTGGAAAGGCCAAAATTCTGCTTTGGGGGATCTTGAACACATTACCTATTTCTTCCAGGAGTTGCCGAAACCTAGAAAACTGACTGTTACAAACATGTCTTATATTCTAGCCTCAACTCACTGATGTAAAGGGGCCTTGGAAATACATCCCAGATACTGACATTAGCATTGACTTTAGCATGGCTTGCACACTATAGTAGGTCACTGGAAACATTCCAGTCATCCCCAGTAGGAACCTTAATAAATTAGAGTTCCTCCCAGGAAAGAAGATCCTAATTTTTTAGAAAACCAGGTGCAGAGAACAGTGTGTGTCATTTGCACTGAGTTATACTTATGTGTGTGTTGACTTAGATGTACACAGAGGATTTCTGCACATAGTGGCGACTGGTAAGCAGAGAAACTGTAAGGCAGAGGAGAAAACACCATTGTTACTCTGTATTTCTTCAGTCCTTTCTGAGTCATTTGTACACATATACAGACACATTTATTTGCTGGAGGAATAATGTCTACTTACTGGGAATGCTAGGAGACCTTTCCATTTGGTTAGAATTCCTCTTGGGACTATAGTTTTCTCATTTTCATCTGCATTAAAAGGGGAAATAATTTCCATGCCTAGATCTCTGGGAAGCCCCCTCCCTCCCCTTCTCTCTTAAATTGCTTCAGGCTGCTGCGAACACATTTCACGTTTTCTTTCCTTACTTTTCAGCTGCATGTTCTCTGGGGGATTCACTTTGAAATTTTTTCTGGCCAAGAACTCACTCTGGCCTTTCCTGCCCCACCTGCAAAAGGTGGCAAGAAATTTAAAACACCATTAGCAGAAAACTGATTTTTTTCCATAGGAACTTGAGATGTGACATTTCCCTAAACATTGGCACTTGGGAAGGTGCCTTGAATATCTGGGTGTTGAGCAATAGGAAGACTGTTTTCAGCAGCTTGGTTAAATGGACCTGATATTGTTGCTTACATGTGTTGAGCAATAGGAAGACTGTTTACTGTTACAACTGATATTGTTGCTTACGTGTGACAAGTGTTAATGAGTGTATGATGTAAGCGATGAGTCAGTCAGTTCTTCACACTCAGGTGCAACCACACCCTTCTTTATTCGTCTACTCCCATCACACCTGATAGAGCATCTGCTCCCAGAGTTACCCAGAATGCATGCTGGGGTCCCTCCTCAGCTCAGCTGCACCCCTTCAATGAGATCACTGGCATCCTGGATCTCACGGCCTCTGGACATCTAGAAGGTACCCCAGCCACTGCTGCATCCCTTGAGCGCATGACCCCAGCATCATCCCTAGGTCACTGGATTTGAGGGCTACAGCAATGCTGTTCACACCACACCATCATCAGCCAGATGGCATGCATCCTAGTTTTCTCTGTGGCCATGAACTATATGTACAAATGTACAGGATGTTTTTTTTCCTTAAACAGAAAAGGAGACAACGTTTACTTGTGTCATTTGCTCTGCTGCTTAACTCTGACCTTCTCAAGGTCAACTCAAACGATTCTAGCCCATTCTTTGTAGATGGTCTCATAGTATTACATAGACTTTACTGTAATTTACATTTTAATCTCTTCTTTCCATCCCTTCTCCTTTTCTCTCTTCTTCCTTTTGTCTTTTTTCTCCTGTTTTCTATTTTTTTTCCTGCTTTCCTTCTTTTTTCCTCACATTTCCCCCAGGCCTCACAAATATTCTACTAGAATCCCTTTATCTTTCAGGCACTGCTGCTGCCTCCACTGGGGGCTGCAACTGGGAAGAGACATCTCTGGGGACACTTACTGTCAGAAGCTGTTGTAAAGCACACAGATCTGCAGTGACCAGCAGGGAAGTGACGTCTTCTAGGGTTCACAGCTGCACAACTTTACACAACACATCCTTACATAGTAATATCAGTATTTATACAAGATCAGATTCCCAGTCAGTGTATATATACACACACATTAAATTGTAATAGCTTCTGTCAAATTATATTCCAGAAAAAGCTCTACTACAACAATGTGTGCAACTCACTGCCCACACCCTCAATAGAATGGCGTTCTAATATGAAGATAAATGCTGCAAAAATAGCTTTATTGTTTTACTATAAAATGAAATAAGCTCATTGCCAAACATCCTCAGAGTCCCAGTAGCCCGAGACACTCATTGTGAACACTCAGGTCATAATGCAGCATTTCTTATGTCTCTCGACACAGATGTCAATATGAGGCTGGGAAGTACTCAGTACTGGCTCTCTGGCCTCTTTGAGGGTAACAAACAGAGTTATCACTTTCCGGGGGACACACGTTACCCCCTCATCCCGTCTCGGGAAGCACATGTCACCTCCGAGCCTCACCTTTGCAAGTGAATGGCCCTTTGCCCACTCTTCATTTCATGCAGTGTGGCGAGGGAGCTGCACTGTCTGGGGTTGCTCAGGTCTGCGTCCCTTCCCTTCTCTGTCGGGATGGAGGTCCAGCAAGCTGTCTGTGCTAGTGGGTTGTTTCAGTCTCCCCTCTTCCCCTGCTCCTGCCTGGCTTTCATGCTGTACTTCATTATTATTTCCTTCTACCTAGTTTAAGTTTCTCTTGCTTTCCTCCCCCTCCCTTCCTTTTTCAGTGTCGGGTGAGTCCATAATATTCTCTATGTCTAATCTAGTTATTTATTTTAAACTGGCAAAATTCTATATACTCAATAGTGAGTACACCCTGATGTTTTGAAATACTTTCCCCCACTTTTCTTGAAGGGAGAGCTGAGGTTGTTGACTTGAGGCTTTTTTCCCCTTTATTCTCTTTTCTGATGCAGGATTTTATTGTGATAAAATGTTCACAAATTCTGCTTTAGCCAAACACCACAGATTTCATCAAGTTGTCTTTCCTTCTCTCTCTCTCCCCTCTTTCCTCCCCTCCTTTCCACGCCTCTCCCATCCTTCCCCCACCCATCTCCCCCTCCTTTGTTCTGGGAAACACAGCAGGGCCCTGCACATGCAAGGCACGTGCTCTTCAACTGAGGTAACCCCAACCCCTGCATCTTCTCTTTCAATCACCTCAGAATCTTCCAAAGGCTATTTTGATTTCTTCCTTGCTCCAGGAGTCATTGATAAGTGTGTTACTTCTCTTAAAGAACAGGGATTTTGGAGATGCCCTTACTGTATCTGAAGTAGTCCCAGGCAGTCAGAGAACTTTTTCTGTGTGCATTTGCATCTGGGGGTCCTTACTCATGGACTTCGAAAAGTCTGTACATTCTGTGCCTATCAATTAGATTGAAATTGATCGGTAGCTTATTTCAAATCTGTATTTTTTTTTACTGCTTTCTCCATCTGGTCTAGTAATCACTGAGCTATGAATTTGGTTCAGTTATCGATTTGTCTGTTCCTTCTCAAGCCTGCCAGTGTTTCCTTGGGTATTGTGAGCTGTCACCTGAGCTGTGGACCATGTCATCCTAGCACTGCAGAGAGGTGATCTTTACCGTTGCTAGGCCTCATTGCTCAAAGTCCATTTCCATGTTACTTATGCAGAAGTCTATAGTTCTTGTGCACCTTTTTTTTCCCAAGAAGGTATTACTCATGTTGGAATATACTCATGGCTTGCCCTCGGTCCCGTCTTACACCTTCCCAGGCTCTAGACTGCTTACTGGAGGGTGTGGTAAGTTGAAGCCAGTTGTCTTGCTATTTGTGTTCTACTTGTCTCATTTTTTTTTTCTTGGTTTCCTTCACTCTTTTTGGGAGGAGAGTAATTACTCGCTTAATTGATTAACTTGATTTCCCTTTGACTTCTATCCTTAACTCTTTGCTGTGCCTTCCCACCCCCCACCCCGTGGTTGCTTAGTTTATAGTGTAGACAGGCATCTGCATCCGTGGGTTTGGCATCTACAGATTGAACAACCCTAGGCAAAAAATTTGAAAAATACTCGCATCTCAACGGACACTGTACAGTTCTTTCCTTGTGATTTACTGAGGAATACATTCCCACAATGATTTACATTGTAGCAGGAATGGGTGTAATTGAGGTTATTTCAATGTTAGCACACCAGAGGTGTATCGTCTATGTGCAAACACAAGGCCATTTAAAATTTCTGTTGTTTAAATTTGATTTTGCTGGGTTATGTTTTGAAGGACGATTAATAGATAATCTACATCAGGCTAAGGGATCTGTCTTAGAATGTGTATCCCTTGCTGTCAACACATGGCAATTGGGAAGTCACAGAGCTCATCTGGCACCCTACTCCTGCTGCATTGTGCCCTGCTGGGAAAAGATGTCAAGGGCAGTATTGTAAATAGTGCATAGTTTCCTTTTTAGGATACAAGCTTTTACTTCCAGAGGCATCTATCCCGGGGTTTCTTAATCTATAATCCTTTTATTTGGACATATTAAGACTACATCATATTTAGTTTTCTTTCACTGTATGACACTGAACCAAATGTGTCCCTTGTCACACAATTTTTCTCTAGTTTCTTCTGGAGGAATGCTAGATTTTTCCTGTTAACATTAGATTCTATTTTCTTTCCCACTCTTAAAAACTCATTTTACCCTGCTTTTAATTCTGTATTTATTTCTATCTAGCTTTTTACTTTTGTGTGTGTATGCAGGTATGTATACACATATGCAGGTATGCACATATGTAAGTATGCATGTATATGGAGGCCAGGGGTCAACCTCTGGTGTCATTCCTCAGGATTCACCTACTTTATTTTATGGGCAGAGTCTTTTGATGGCCTGAACCCCACCTGGTATGCTAGGCTGGCTAGCTTGTGAGACCCAGGTAGCCTGTCTTTACCTCCTTAGCACTGGAAAGACAAGTGCATACCCCCAAACCTGACTTTTAAAATGCGGACTCTAGTGTTCAAATTCAGGTCCTCATGCTGTGGGCCAGCAGTTTAGA